CAATCAGAGACTTTAATTGCCAATCTTGCCCAACCAAACTAAGTAATTCTTTATAAGAAACCTTATCCAAATTCACTCTCCTAGATACTCCCTCTATCACGTGTCCAGGAATCCCCCAAATTGGGATTTTTTTAATTTAACCTATATAATAATATTTCTTCCAGACACACAACAAGGCATTTCTCAAAATATGGGTTTTAAAAACCTGATCAACTTTTTTATAATAAATTAAATAAGCATGCCATCCATATAATAAATCCCATCCCTCAAGAGAAAGGATATTTTTATTTGTTAAGTTGAGCCAATCACTAATCAAAGTTAAAGCCGCCGCATCATAGTAGGATTTTAGATTAGGCGCCTTCAGTCCTCTTCTTTCCCGTATATCTTGTATAATCTTAAATTTAACTCTTGGCTTTTTCCCTGCCCAAATGAACTTATTAATCCCTCCCTGCCATTCCTCCAAATTAGCATCTTTCTTCAAAATAGGTATCATTTGAAACAAGAAAAGAAACTTTGGAAGTATATTCATTTTAACTGCTGAAATTCTCCCCAACAAAGATAATTGTAGTTTTTTCCAGTCATTTAAGTCCTTTTGCACTTTTGCCCATAATATCTCATAATTATTTTTATACAATTTAACATCAGAAGCTGTAATATATACTCTTAAATATTTAACCTTTCTCACTATTTCAAAACCTGTTAATTTAATCAAAACATCCTTTTCCTTCATAGACATATTGTTCGATAATATTTTACTCTTATTATTATTTACCTTAAAACCAGAAACCTTCCCATACTGAGTCAAAATTTTTACCAAGTCCCTAACCGAGTCTGTCGGTTGAGATAATGTCACAACCAAATCATCAGCAAAAGCTCTCAACCTATAATCATTCTTATTTATTTTTATTCCCTTTATTCTAGGTGACTCCCGAATTTTAATAAGTAAAATCTCCATTGTTAAAACAAATAACAATGGGGATAAAGGACATCTCTGTCTTGTACCCTTTTAAATTTTAAATGCTTCTGTTAAACCCCCATTAACTTTAATTTGTGCAGATTGTTGATATATTGCCTTAAGGGTAACTAAAAATTTGTCCACAAAATTCATTTCCTCTACTACTCTAAATAAAAATTGCCAATCTAATTGATCAAAAGCTTTTTCAGCATCTAAAAAAATCAAAACAGCAGGGATTTGATTGTTCTTATCCAAATACTCAATTAGTTAACAATTTGTCTAACATTATATTTCATATATCTTCCAGATATAAATCCAGATTAGTCACTATGAACTAATTGCTTCAAAACTCGCATTAATCTATTTGCCAATATTTTTGAAAAAAATTTATAATCTGTGTTCAAAAGAGATATAGGCCTATAATTTTTGGGCTGGGTCAAATCTTGATCCTCCTTCGGAATCAATGATATAAAAGCCCTTCTCCATGATGGAGGTACCTCTGCTCCCAATAGAATATTATTAAAAAGTTCCTTCAATGGTTAACATTTGGCCTTTTTAACTATTTGCAATTCTATTTTTTCTGATAATTGCTTCTTTTTGTTTATCTGTAAAATTTTTAACTGTCGCTTTAATTTTTTCTCTGTTTATCTTTAATCCTGCTATCTCTCAAAATTTTTCTATCTTTTCCAATAGTTTAGGAATCGTCTCTAAAGGTTCCTCTAGAAGGAATACCAAATCATCTGCAAATGCTTGCAATTTGTAGGATTCACCTTTTATTTTCAATCCTTTAATTTCTGGATCTTGCCTATTTAAAACTTCCAAAGTTAAGATAAATAGCAATGGGGATAATGGACATCCTTGTCTTGTGCCTTTTCGTATATCAAAATTCTCTGTGTAATCCCCATTTACAATTACTTTTGCTGATTGTTTCTGATATATTGTCTGAATCGTATTTATAAAGTTTTGACCAAAGTCCATTGTTTTTAGTTGTTGAATCATAAATTGCCAAGAAACATTATCAAATGCCTAAAAATACTGGATGAAATTCATAATATTGCAATATATCTAGTATTACCCTCAAATTATTTTTTATTTGTCTCTTTGGCAAAAATCCATTTTGATCTGGGTTTATAAATTCAATCAAAAATCTTTTCAACCTCTCAGCTATTATTGAAGTGAAGAGTTTATAGTCCACATTCAGTAGTGATATCGGTCTATAATTTTTAATATGGGTCAGATCTGAATCCTCTTTTGGTATCAAAGTAAGATTGACTTCTGTCCATGTATTTGGGAGTTTTGCCTCCACATTTTTCAGTGGTGAACTTAATATAGCTTATAAACATTTATAAAACTCTGCTGGGAGTCCATCTGGTCCTGGTGTTTTTTCATTTTTTTGTCTTTTTATTGCCTCTGTCAATTCCATCATTGTTATTTTTTCATTTAACATAGTCTTAAAGTTTTCTGGAATTTTGGTAAATTATTTTCTTCCATATATTGAGTCATTTTCTCCCATGGAGTTTCTTCCTTGTCATACAGTTTCTCATAGTATTCTTTAATTATCTTTTTATTACTTCATTTTTAAATTGTAAACAGCCTTTTTAAACTACTAAATTGTTTATAATTTTTTTTCTCCTTCTGTTTTTTAAATTTATAAGCTAACCATCTTCCTGGTTTGTTTGCATTTTCAAAAAAGTTTTGCTTTGCTGTTTGTTGTGCCAATTTTTCTGATTCTATTAAGTTTAACTTATGTTTTATTATTTCCATTTGTCTTTTCAATATTTTCTTTTGTGGGTTTATTTGTAGTTCTATTTTTTTTAAATTCTTCTCTTAACAACTGACATTGTTGTCTCTTTTCTTTATTTTTTTCGCCATGTATGTTATTGCTACACCTCGAAAAAAATGCTTTGGCTGTATCCCATATATTTTGTAATGTTGTCTCTTCTTTTTTATTTTCTTTGAAGAAAAATTCCATTTCCTTTGTTGCTAAGTCTATAAATTCTTACTCTTTTAATATAGATTGATTCAAAGTCCATCTTAATTTTTTCTGTATTCCTTTCCACACCATTTTTAACGGGTTATGATCTGCCCAAGTATCTAATTATATTTCAATTTCCGGCATATTAACCCTTAATTCAGGCATCATCCAAATCTTATCAATTCTGGACCAAGTTGTTATATATGTGTTCTTTTATATGTAAGAATATAAAATAATGTTTTATATATGTATTTTTATTGCCTATTATGTGCCACCCAGCATCACTTCTTGCAAGATGTGCAGCTATATAAATTTGATTAATTAATAAATGAATCATAATGTTTGTTGCTTTGGTTTAAAGTATTATATGAATCTGACTATAGTAATTTCTGACTTGGTGTATTTTAAAAACTTAGGCAATTGTGTTTTGTCCCACAAGCTCCCTTGGTTTTGTGCATTGTATAAGATTGTCTACATTCAGATGACATAGAATGAAATAGTATAATATATCTCTAGTGCCAATTTCTATGTTTATTGTTGAAAATCTGTACCTGTATGTGTCTAGAAATGCCCATGGAAAGCTCTCTCCATGCTGTCAGAAGCTCTGGAAAAGTTGCCTATTGAACTAAAGAAAGAAAAGGCATGGATATGTCACCCTACCTAACTCCCTGCATGTGTTTCTGTGGGTCATTTTATTAGGAATCAAAGTTATAGTTGCAAGAAATTGTAATTATCTGCCCAAAGATGAGGGAAAGATAAGTTTCTTTGTTTATATCACTCTGTCTCAACCTTGGAAGCTTGAAGGTAAGTGGACTTCAACTCCCAGAGTTTCCCAGTCAGCCATGCAGGCTGCGGAATTCTGAGAGCTGAAGTCCCACACATCTTCAAGCTGCCAAGGTTGAGAAACATTGATTTATATCAGGGGTAGTCAACCTTGGCTCTTTTATGACTCGTGGACTGTGCTGGCTCAGGAATTCTGGGAGTTGAAGTCCACGAGTCATAGGTTGACTACCCCTGGTTTTTATGATTTATATCACTGCCCATCTCACATAAATGAGTGTGGGTGGCTTACAAGATTAAAACACACAACAAATAATTCCCAGTTTAGCCCAAGGATATACAATAGCCCCACTCACAGAAAAACACATCGATTACAGAATTCATCTACTGTACCTACTTGATCCAACTGCCTGGGTAAATAGCCAGGTCTTCAATGCCTTGTGTAATGCGCTATTATTTTATGTCTGGGAAAAAAAAAGGCCATGATCGCACAAAATCAAATCATTTTAATACTACGGGATTTAATGGAAAGTATTTTTCAAAATATACGGGGTGAGCTAAAGTTTTCTTCATTTTGATTTGGTTATAAACGCCCCCTCCCTCCTTTTAAGTTGTGTGAATTAACCAATAATAATAAATATCTAAAACCTCATTTATTTCAATGCTATAGTCATGGGTTTAAATCAGCGTTTCTCAACTTGGTAGTTTCCAGATGGATCAAACTACAACTCTTCAAACTCCCAGATAGAGATTATTAACTATATTGAGTCTTTTCAGTCAGTTATTAAATGTGCTACTACTCTTCACTAGCCATAATACATATACTGTATTTCATTACTATTTAAACTCTGAACTTTTTTTTTCTTTATGGAAGGAGCCATCAGAAGTACCTATCTAGTTATATATATTAAAGCTGATAATATATGAATAGTATTGTTCCCATCTATTACCTCACAACAAGGTAGTTTCAGCCTCCATTTATGATTCGTGCAATCACTTGGCACATAAGGGTTTAAAAACATTCGGCTCTTGCCCCAAAATGACTTCATCTCGCTATAAATATCCTATTTGTTGGTAACAAAGCTATTAACAAGCTGTGCTGGAGCCACAACAGACAAGATATAAATTACTCAAATAAATTAACAGGTGCTGCAGAATAATTAAACCCGTATTAGATGTATCTCACTTAACCAAGCTTGCTTTGTAGAGAAGAAGGATTCCTTTTCATTACCCCCCCCCCCCAATGGCCTGTGATGGTTGCTAATTTATAATCTTGTGTTTCCCTGGCAGGGTGATATCCAGCAGATGCTGATTATTGATGATCCCAGAGCAGCGTATGATTACTGTGAGCACTACAGCCCAGACTGTGATTCTCCTGTGCCTGATGCTTCTCAAGCTCAAGAACCTCAAGTGGAGGAAGTAAGCAATGAGCCATTTTTTTAAATTAAATGTATTATACTTTAGCAGCTATGTTGCATTCATGCTATTGTGGAAGATTGACCTGGCGCTAAATTCCTCCCATTCTGAATGTGAGAGAATCAGATATTGCCTCTCTGTCCTATCTTGCAATGCATATGTAATTTATACCCAGACTGCTTTTCTGAATATATTCAAGACCCTCCCTTCAATTAAATGGACAGAAATGTAATGTTTTTTCCCATGGGATTTTGGAATGTTGGAAATAACTAGGAAACATGGATATGTTCTCTTAACTGAGGTCATCTCATTAAAGGAGAATCTGTGACTAAGATTTCTAAATATGATTGAGCCATAGTACTTCTCAGTGAAATGGAACTATATCACATAGTAAAAAAAAAAAAGTTTAGAAGGCACTGGCAAGAGTAAACTCTTAACTCTCAGCAGTGCATTCTTCAGGATTGCAAGCTGACTTCCAGACAAATCTCTCTGGCTTCTTTGACATTTTTATAGAGTCTTCCCCTAGTCATTCATTTGATTCCGGCTCCATTTCTGAATTTTGTCTTGGTAGAATAATAATAATAATAAAACCCCCTGACTATTTCCCAAAATAGTCCTTGCTATTCTCCCACTGAGCCCTAAAAGTAATCTCCAATCTTACAAAATAAGAGCTGAAAAAGATAGAGAAATGCTAGTTGCAAATGCTATTCCAAGTTGACTTTCTATGCTTGTTTAAAAGGCTAACAAATTTGTGCAATAAGGATATGGCTAATTTTATTAGCTGCATGGAAGATTTTGAAACATTGCTGTATGATAATCCCATTGATTATAATGTACTAGTTAGATGCTTATGTTATAGTCTTTAACTGTTTTTGGAGTTCAGTATATATCTGAGTCTGAGTAGGCTTTGATTGCTTTTGTGATTTATATTTAAGGCTGAGCATGCACACTGCCTACTTTAACTCTGAAGTCATGGGTGGTAAGGTGACCAACCGTCCTCCTTTAGGGAGGACAGTCCTCCTTTTGTAAGTTCTGTCCTCCCTCAAAAAGTGTCCTCCTTCATGTCCTCCTTTTTTGATATTTGAAGACTAATCTGCAGGGTTTTTTTTCCCCTCATAGAACGCTCAGAACTGCGTTCCGACACCTTTTTTTGATGTATTTTTTTCCAACTTTTGCATGAGCTGTACTACTCCCACTATTGGTTTTCGAAAGCCAATAGGAATTGCTGCTGAGCGCCCCAAAACATCCGGCTGGCAAACTTTGCACATGCAAGTTGTCTGTATTATTGTTGCAATGAATAAAATGTTTCTTTCATTTACGATATTTTTTTCTTCAATTTATTTGTGTCCTCCTTTTCATTGTAAAAAAGTTGGTCACCTTATGGGTGGCAGATTTTAGTGGGGGTAGACTTTCCTTCCTTTGTGTTTGTCTGTCTGCCTGCTTACTCTGTCCATGAAATCAGATAAATCTTATATGTATTTCTACAGTGTGTCCCATTAGCCCACAGGTCAAAGATGAGAGAAAGGTGAATGGTGGAAAGGATCTTTATAAATACTAAATTTTGTCTTTGTCCAGAGTTCCCAACAGAGATAATTTAAACCCAATCTAAAGTTTCTAAATAAACTAGGATGGTTTATTTTTGCATGTAGTACATGAAATTTTCCAATAACCTCTGCTAATTTCTCCATGTGAATACTTATAGGATATCACAGTTGGCCTAAGAAACATAGAAACATTATCACTTCTTTGCCTTGTTGTTTATGGCAGTTTCGACTGCGATTAATTTATTTTGCAACCTGTCATTTTTATGAGCCTTACTTTTGAGATTTAAAGACTTATCTTAAGATTTATTTTGAAATTTAATGTATATTTGAAATTTATATTTCAAATGTGTTTAACAAATATTTTTGAACAGGTGTTGATTTTCAGAGTGACAAGCAATAAGTATCTTTAGACCTCAAAGGACAAAGAGAATTTGCATTTTCAAATTGTGACATTGATTCATTTTGTACTTGAACATCTGTATAACCTGCTCTCTTTGGACTTCTCAGGAGCCACAAGGAATTTAAATGTAAAAGCTTCTATTTTGTATTATTGATTATTATAAGACCGATGAAAAGTTGGGACTGCTCTACATTGAATTAAAAGACTCATTGCTTGTGGTAGGAACCTAATCTTTTGAACTATTCAACAGTCTGTGCTTAGGATTCAAAATATCTTAAGGATGTGCAGTGATTTCAGTTTGCTAGACAATCTGATGCCGCTATACTATCCGCACTTTCAGGCTTTGCTGCTAAGAATTTAACATCCACACCATGCAATAGGTTTTAGTATCTCAAGGATTTAGTAATCCTCTCTTTATTCTCTCATTATTATCTATAACAGCGGTTCTCAACCTATGGGTCGCGACCCCATTTGGGGTCGATCGACCATTTTACGGGGGTCGCCAAACAATGCGATCCGCCATTCCCCCCCCTCAGGGGGCGCAGCCGCGCATGTGCGCCACGCATGGGGGGGCCACCGCGCATGTGTGCCACGCATGGGGGCGCCGCCACACATGCGCACCGTCACACAAATGTTGAGAAACACTGATCTATAACATGCCTATTCTCCCTTTCATTAACAGAAATATAATAAAAATGCAATACAGAGAAAATGATAAAATCAATTTATAAACATAAAAACCATAACTAAGGCAGGGTGGCACAGTGGCAGACAGAGAAAATCATGGATAGGCTGGGCAAGTGAAAAAAGCTTTCCATTCAGATATTTCATGGGTGTTCAGGAAGATCTTTAGAATAAAAGTGGGCATCTAGAAAAGAAGATACTTCAAATAAACCCTTATGTGATGGCCTTCCCCATCAGAGAATACCACTCCCTGAACCATAGCTAAATGAATACCGCAAAAAAATTGACAACAAGGTATCTGAGGATTAGATTGACATCTATAAATTGTTTGTGACCTTATAAATCAAAGGAAACACCATGTGGTGTACTGCTACTACTACTACCACTACTAAAGTAGTCCTTGAATTACACTCATTCATTTAGCATCCATTTGAAGTTGCAATGCCATTGGGAAAAAATTGACTTATAACTGGTCATCACGCTTATAACCTTTGCAGCATCCCCACAGTCATGTGATTAAATTTCAGGTGATGGCAACTGGCATGTATTTGTAATGGTTGCAGCATCCCAGGTCATGTGGTTGCCATTGGTGACTTTCCTGGCAGACTGACAGGAAAGTCACACTGAGAGGTAAATCAATGGGGGAATCTGGACTCACTTTAAGAACTGCAGTGATGTGCCTAACAGTTTGGGGCATCTAACCATAGAAGAAAAAGATCGAAACATCAAGTGTGGTTCAATTAACAAACCACCATAGGTAGCAATGGAAATTCTGGTTCCTATTGTGCTCATAAGTCAAGGACTATCTGAATTATAATTTTGAATGAGGCTTAAGAGTTGAGGCTCTGTCTCTTCTTCTTTTTTAAACATTCTCTTTCAGGATAATAATTTAATAGCTAATCAGCTTATGTAATGATGTAATGGAATATAAGGTGGATGATGCAATGATAGGAATGACTCAGCAGGGTCTGTGTCTCTTTAAGAGCCTGAGTATAAAAGGGAAGGCTTTTGTTGGAGGGTCTCTCTCTTGTCTATTTCCTGCTATAACTGCTGTGTGTTGGAGTTTGCTGTATTACCACGTGTATGTATCTTGTTCCTAGTGTATATTGTAGATAGTGTAAGATAAACCACCATTTAATATAGACCACTGTTTACTGTATTTACTCCTGGGTTATCTCAGCGCAATATGACTGTGCATGCTCTGACATCCTCTTTGCATTGTTCAGATATATTTAACTAAGTCAAGACAAATCATATTAGTATAATCCCAACTTGGGAGTCAGAGATGAAAAAAAAGGAAAAAGAAAAAAAGAAGAAGATCCGTCTAATGAAGTACATTCTGGCCTTCTCCGAGCTGGATTGTCCCCTCTAGTATGTGCATATACTGTAAGCAAAGTTGAAAATGCCTTGCTTGGAACATAATCCCACCACTCAATAAATCTCAGTATCTTGACTGAAGAAACTGATCTCCAAAGGGAACTCTGCTTCATTTGTTTTGACTTGGCCCTAGTTGCAGGGGACATCTGAAAGAAAGCAAATACATGTTTAAATTAAAAGTGTTTTATGGAAGGAAGAGCCGAAGGAAGTCTAGCTATATTTCCTAAGGGACTCATTGTACATTTTTTTTCCCTCATTAATGTACTTTTCCTTTTCTCCCAAATCCTGCTGCCTTATTAGAGCTGTTTTCCTTTAGAGACACAGGTCACATGAGACAGTTTTTTAATGTCTGACACAAAGGATGTGCATGAATTAGATAAATTATCCTGAGTAAAGATAATAAAATGGTCTAGTTAGGAGAGCATTTCAGGGTATTTCCTGAAAGCAATTACAACAATGTCATCCATAAATGTTTCAGTAACCTTTGATTCTTGTACAGTCTTTGGGAACTGATCTCTTCTAACCTCAAATCATTTAACATGATAACAATTTGTGCCTCTGAGTCAAATTACATGCAGCAGTGGAGAAAAGGCCCTTTCTTTCAGAAAGGCTTTGGAATTCCTTCACTGTGGCAGTGTGGTCAATATGCATTAGATGATGTCATGTACTAGTATGCATTAAGACAGGGAAATGTCTTAGCTAAGGAGAGAGAACCAACCTAGAATTAAGGAGAAATTTCCTGACAGTGAGAACAGTTAATCAGTGGAACGACTTGCCTCCAGACGTTGTGAAAGCTCCAACACTGGAAGTTTTAAGAAGAGATTACACAACCATCTGTCTAAAATGGTATAGGGTTTCCTTGGCTTGGACTAAAATATCTCCAAGGGCCTTTCCAACTCTGTTATTCTATCTAGCAACAACCTAATTCAATGAACTCTGTCCAGAAATTGTCAGAATTAGAAATATTTCCAGAACTTGAAATTTAGTTTTTATGGTCT